AACCTTCATCCACCAGTAGACACTGTCATTGGACTAACTGGTTGGACCCTACACTATTATAAAAGTTTATTATTTTGTACTCACTGGAAACTCACACATACACAGAGCAGAAATATAAATTAAAAAAATTTAGGCAAACTGCAGATTTTCATGGCCAGTTTGTATAAAATATTTTCAAATGAAACATTCTCTAATAAAGTGATTAATTATGAGATAAAATAAACATAATTTCCACAAATTTGGAGTGATATATAGACGAAATACTAAAGACAGAATTGTCATATTAGCAAGATCTCTCTCTCTCAAAAATATGTAAAACTTCAAATTAATCCCTTTGAATCTGTGGGTCTCGGGGACAGGGGAGGAGGAATATCAATGGAGGATCACCTTCATAATCTTTGCTGGGAATAGTTTCTCTTCTTGATAAACACATTCCAGCGTGCTCCTTTGCACGCACACGTATTAAAGAGGCGCACTTTGCTGTCAGTTAAAGCGTTTTGTTTGCTAATGCTGCAGTACAAGAGGAATACTGATGAAGCGCCACCCATGGAGACTGCGTTAATGCATCTGTCACCCGGGACATTTCCATGTCGGGTTTCATCAGAGTGTGATCCAGCGCCGCGCTGAACACGTGCTGAGACTAAGAACTCGTGGCTGCGGTTTGTCTTCAGCAGCGGTCAGAGATTGATGCTGCAGTCGCTCTGAGCTGCCAAGGGATTTCGGCCATCAGACACTGGTTCAAGATCAGCTCTGAAGGCCAGTGGATAGATAGAGGCGTGCAGGTGGGAAAATATTCTTACATCATGTAGAAAAACAATCCATGATCTGATCTTTGGCCAACCAATTCTAACGTAGAAAAACAATAGTCAAAAGGTCTGAAATGACATACTAATCAAGTAGGTACTACATTTGAGTTTGAATGTACATTAAGATCATTTGTAATGTACATTGTTTTAGTATGAACGTTGGTGGTACAAACAGAATTTGGATGTACGACATTCGCCATGTTTTCGTTATCACATGACCAGTTTGTGTCAGTTGAATTCCTTTACTCCCATTCATAAATTCTCTCTCTTGTGACCTTAAGGGTTAGTAAATTAGTATGTCCAAATTCATAGTAATTGAAAAAAACAGTAGGCAAGCAGGTACCCAGATGTTGTGCTACCAACATGTGCTACCAACAAGGTCATGGTTAGGCATTGCGGTAGGTGAGGTGATATTACAACTTTCCAATTTTCTATTTTCCAAAACGCCAAGCTGTGGAATGTGCCTCTATAGAACATAATAGATAAATATGTAACACTCCGTGGTGCTGTCTGCCAGATGTTAATGAAGTTGCTCTTCTATCTCAGGCCCCATTTACACTAATACGTTTTAGTTTTAAAATGGCGTTTTAGAACGAAACCAATCCACAGTTCAGCGTTTCTGAACCGATCTCTATCCACACTATGCCGCTGAAAATGCACATCACGTGACCACACACACACTTTGTCATGTGCTGCAGCATATGCGGACATCTGAGCTCTAGACAGTCAGCGGGTGCTTTTGAGCACAGCTCTCCAGATAAGAGCAGCGCACGTCGGACAGTTCTTCAAGGATATACCGCTGGATTTCATCTCACTATAGTTGGTAAATGTGATATTCAATATATCTTGTCTTTATTTAACGACCCTTTGGTCTTTTGAATTCATTACTTACTCTCAGGTAACGTGTTTTGGCTGAGCGGAAAGATAAGTCATTATATTAATTTGTGTAACCAAATACACTGATTCTGCACATCTGACTTGACTGATTGCCTTTACTTCCTATATTGTATAAGCGTATTTTAAGTTAAACTTTTATAATGGCCATTATTGATTATTAAATCTGATATTCAGCAAAAGAGAGGGTGTGTTTATTATTTTTCAGTAAAAATGAAAGGAGGCAGTAATGTTATAGGCTCCGTTTTGTTATAAATACACAAACAGTGAAGATGACGCTCATATAAATATATAGTTTTGCGATGCCTCAACAGGTTTAATGTCTTTAAAGTTGTTAGGCTGTTCCTTATGTCCTGTATTCATTTTATTGTTAAGAACGTGAAACAATGTAGCCTGGGTGAAGTGAATGAGGTTGTAAAGTACACTGTTACCTTAAAAGATTTACCCGATGTGTCCTCGGGAGTTTGTTTTCCATGTCAATCTTGCGAAGTCTGAACTTAAGGAGAGGATGCAAGACTAAAATTTGTGCACTTAATACTACGGAAAAAGCTCCATAACTGCAGCTACGCCTCCTTTTCAGATGTCTTCAGATGTTTTCCCCCATCCACACTGACATGGAGCAGCAGCGTTTTTAAAGCAAAATGGCCTCTTCAGCATTTTCAACACGCTCTGTTTTCGGGCCTCTAAAACTCCGGGGTAGTGCGGACAGAAGGCGTAATCGTAGCAAAACTTATGCACTTTAAAACTAAAATGTATTAGTGTAAACGGGGCCTCAGCCACCATCAATATTGTATTTAAGGGTATGTGTGACACATTTACAACCCCACTTACTGCAGGAAGGGGGTGTTGGAGTGTTTAAAATCTGAATACCATAAGAGTCCGTTCGCATATTGTTTTTGTTTTTTTCGCATACAAGTTTGTTATTTTCAGAGTCTCGCGACTTGCACTCGCAAACATGCACAGACGCTCACATGGTTGACAAGAGGCGAGTGTGGTATGACACACTTGCTTTCCAGGCACATCATCTTAGAAACATCTCAACTTTACAGAATGTCACAAGTGCACTGAGAGTCATGTGATCAGAACTAACTAATCAGCTTCTAACATTGTATGGAATACACACATTTCGGTAACAACGGTAAACTAATTACCTCAGACAAACACAGCGCACCTAAACACTGCAGTGCTTTTAAATGTTCTCCATAAATAAAACTAGTTTCAGAGCTGCAGCAATGGTTTGACAGTCTGTAATCCTCTGCAAGAACAGTTGATGGTTGCCTAGCAAAGACAGATGCCACAGGATGGAAAATGGAGAAGATAAAGGTGCACTTTGCACTTTCCACACACTTTTTGATATGACATGTGAACAGCCACTAACATAGCTATTTAAAAAAAAAATTTGCCCTCAAATGAAAAATGAAAAAGATCTTTGAAATATACAGTTGCTTTCATATCCCCACCTCCCATGCCAGAATAACCAGTCCTCACCCCACTCTGTGCCTGCAAGTGAGTCAGACCTCAGCAGTTACATTGGTGCCGTGACCCGGAAAGAAGTAAGGTAAGCAAGTGCAATGGAGGCCAGTAAGTAAGTGCTGTGTAGGTAAACTTCACTCCCCCGAGCATCTCGAGGTGCTTTAGCGACACTAGGCACTAGAGGCTACGTTCTGTAGCCTCCTCATTAGAGTGTTCACCTCCCATGCCAGAATCACCAGTTTGAGCCGTGTTTGAAGGTTGTCAGAACATAGGGGTTACACAAGTGGCTGATAAACTGTCTTTAATTCCCACAACAGGAAAAAGCGAATGAACTTTATTTTTAAGTTCCACATTAGGGGTTCTCAAACTTGACCCTGAAGGGGCACTGACCTGCAAAGTGTAGTTCCAACCCTAATCAGAGCCACCTGGGCAAGCTAATCAAGCTCTAACTAGACACATCCTAGCAGGTGTGTCCTAAACCTAATTCCACGCTGAATTTACAGAAAGATTGCAAAAACTTGATTGCTGTGCTGATTATATTGGAACTTACAGTAATTTGTTATTATTTTGTGTTCAGTATTGCTTTATCTGTTATTACAAATTGTTTGATATGAATTCAACATTTCTGCAGACCAAAGTCGAGAACGATTGTGCAGTAGTTTCAATTATCTACTAATTTCCTCCAAATTTCTACATTCCCATCGATACGTTTGAGGTTGGTAAGTGGCACCTCATGGTACAATAGAGCAATTGTATGAATCTTAATAGTACAATTTGATTGTGGCCTACAGATCCATTTAAAGGTGGAAATTCATGCTTTGTATTTTTTCCATCCCTTGTTAACATATAAATCAAGTTGCAGAAATTCATATACAATTCCTACATGATAAAAATTGTTACACTTTGTCATTCAAACATGTTGACTGAAATCTTGCTGAGTTCTCACCATGTCAAAGGTAACATAATTTTAGGATATCATGTCATATAAAATGTTAAAAGAAGATGTTAAAAACAGACAGTATATAAATAAATGAAGTACTTTAAATCATTTTACCTGTTTTGCTGGATCCCAGGATGTAAAGAGGCCTAACAAAGAGAGACAAAGAAAAAAGATTAACATTATTGGGTAACGAGTTTCATAATAGTCACATCCTATTTGTCCATGTTTATCTGGTTGTGGTATAGGCTCTGAAGTGAGGAAAGTTTATTGAATTTAGTTGTGGGGTAATTACATCATTAGCTTTGAGCTGAGGTCAAACTCATCTTCAAACAAAAGGAGTAACACGAGGCCCTGCCAATTCAGTACCATAAAAGAGACAACAAACATAAAACTAAATTTTTACAACTCGAAGGCACTTCTAAACAATCATAAAATAAGAATAGACAGTCTTTTTTATATTCTTTTAATGTTTATGCTGCTTCTGTAGCGTACTACAAAGAACATTTTCACCAAGATCGTCATCTTCAATATGATAACAACTTTTTATTAATAGGTGTAGTGCATATTTAAAAAATTACGTTCACTCATTCATTTTCATCCACTTTTGCGAGGCCAGTTCATGGGGGCAGCAGTCTTAGGAGAGAACCCCTAAAGCTTCTTTCTCCCTTGACACTTCCTCCAACTCCTCCAGGATCCCAAGGTGTTCCCAGGCCACCCGAGAGACATAGTCCCGGCAGCGTGTCCTGGGTCTTCCCCAAGGCCTCCTCCCGGTGAGACATGCCTGGAACACCTTCTTAGGTAGACATCCAGGAGGCATCCAAAACAGATACCCAAGCCACCTCAGCTGACTTCTCTCGATGTGGAGAAGCAGCGGCTCTACTCCTCACCCTATCTTTAAGGGTTCTCCCTGCGATCCTGCCAAGGAAACTCAGTTTGGCCGCTTGTATCCGAGATCTTGTCCTTTCAGTCAAGACCCAAAGCTCATGACCATAGATAAGAGTAGGAATGTAGATTGACCAGTAAATCAAGAGTTTTGTCTTCCGTCTCAGCTCCTTCTTTACCGCAACGTACCAGTACATCAACCGAATGTAAGGGGTAAGGACTTTCCTCCAACCTGGTGATGGCAAGCCACCTTTTTCCGGTGGAGCACCATGACCTTGAACTTGGAGGTGTTGATTCTCATCCCAGCCGCGTCACGCTCAGCACCAAACTGGCAGTGCATGCTAAAGGTCCATGTTCGATGAAGCAAACAGAACAACATTGTCTGCAAATAACAGAGATGAAATCCTGTGGTCCCGAAACCAGAGCCCCTCCAGTTTAAATTAGATATTTAAATGAATTAGATAATAATCTCATTTCTCTGCCATCTTTTTTTTTAAAATATGTATTTCCAATTAGTGTAGTAGTTAAGATCCGTGACAATATTTTTAAATTAAATAATGTTTAAATATTTATTTTGCTCAATTTAGGAAACACACAGGTTTACATAGGTCCTCCATCCTTTCTCCAATATTTAAAAACCACTGTCTAAACCAATGTCAATCTAATACGGATGCACCTTTCAGAATGTGGTTTGATAAGGACATAAAAACAATTGATGACCTCTATGAGAGTGGCATTTTCTCATCCTTTAATAACCTGTCTAAAAGATTTGAACTACCTAATTCACACTTATTTTTTTTTTTTTTCAAATCAGACACTTTGTGCAAAAACTGTTCCCTCATTTTCCAAATCGACCTCCTGAATCTCCATTAGATTATTTATTAAAGCTTGAACCACACTCAAAACATTGCATTTCTACCATTTATAACCTGAATCACAATATTAATCCAAGCTCTGCAAATCAAGCAAGAGGTGCTTGGGAAGAGAACTTAGGTTTTGAGTTCTCTGATGAACACTGGGAGCATATTCTTGAGCTCACACATACCTCTTCTATATGTGCAAGACATGGGCTTATACAATGTAAGATTCTACATAGGGTCTACTACACTAACGCTAGACTTGCTAAAATATACCCCTCTGTCAGCGATGCATTTATTAGGTGCAAACATTCACCAGCAGATCTCATCCATATGTTGTGGGAATGCCCTAAATTATTTGATTATTGGACTAAAATATTTAAAACTCTGCAAGATGCATTCAACATAGATCTGGATACAAATCAACTCTTGGCCATTTTTGAGTTGGCAGTAGATACCAACCTTTCAGTAATGGTCCAGAAGGCTTTAGCTTTTACTACTTTAGAAAATGAGACGTCTCATCCTTTTAAAGTGGAAATATGCCTCTCCACCATCTTTTGATGAATGGATAAATAAAGTGTTTACTAATATTAAATTGGAAAAGATTAGACTATCACTTACTGGTTCTTTAAAGACCTTTGACAAGTTGTGGTGCCCCTTTTTAGATTATCTATTGGATTATCTATTTATTTTCATCTTATTTATTTTTATTTATTTATTTATTTGTAATTATTATTATTAGTTTTTATTTATTTATTGTTATTATTATTTATTTATTATTACTTTTTTTTCTTTCTCAATGGAAAGTTAGAGGCTTTTGAGGGAGGGAAATGTTCAATCGGGGTTGGGGTAGTGTAAACATTAACATGGAAGGAAAATTATAAAATGACTGTTATGGTTGATATTCCATATAAAAAACCTAATAAAATAAATTTGAAATAAATATTTATTTTGATTCTGCATATTATTAAAGTTTAGATCAAGTGTAAGTAACTTCTAAATTGACAAATTTCACTTCTCATATTGTGCAAAAAATTTCCATAATACTATTTTTCTGTATTATGTTGTCCATATAATAAAATGGATGATGTGCATGTATGAAATGGCTGGGATATTAAAAAGTTTTTTTTAAGATTCATCTGCAATCTGATTAAACCATGACTAGAGGAGCTGTGAGAATAATGAGTTATGACTTTTCATTTCTTGGTCTCATACCTGATTCTTTCAATCACCTGCACTATATTCAGTCTTTGCTACAGGGTATGCATAAAAACAGGGTTGAAGCACATTTTTAAAAGTCAAATTTAAGGCTTTTAAGACTGGTTTATAACCTGAAGAAATAAAAATTAATACAGCATGCTAGGTGTGTGCAATATTGGCAAACAAACGATACCTCAATACTTTCAGGGATTATTTCAGATTTGATAGATTCATAGACTAATATCGGCATCCTTAAATACCTTTCAAGGATCATTTTCACCTACATACAATTATGCTCAGACAAGTCCTGAATGCATTTACAATTTGACTGATATTGATAATACGTTTTATTTTATTTATTTCTTATTAAAAGGTATTAAATATTAAACTAAAACCATCAGAGATGGTGATGATAATGAGTGAGTTGATTCATTCACAAATGATGCAAAATTGATTCATTAAACTAATTCACTCACACAGTTATTCAAATTCCACTCATAGGTTTAACTGAACTAAAGGAATTTTGTTGGTGCCGTGACCCGGATGAAACTAAGGAGTGATTAATATAACAAAGGAAGACTAATAAGAGCTGAGCAAGCAAAACTAACTTCCCTATTATCAAAAGTAATACTAATGACAGATGCTGGAGGCTGTGGTCTTTAATGTCTTTGTTACTGTGCCCACCTTCAATGTGAAAAACATCCTACTGGTTTTAGATCACATAGAATAAGATGGGTTGCCTTGGTGCCATGAACCGGATGAGAGTGAGGTTTAGGTGGGTGACTATTGGACTTGACTTGACTAGAGGATGCTGTCTTTAGCCTGTTTGCAGGTTGCCTTGTTAGTGTGCCCTCCTTCCATACTGAAATCATTGTGAGAATCCCACTCATATCAGGTCAAGTACAACCAGAGGGGTTAAATTGGTGCCGTGACCTGGATATGAAAAAGGTTTAGGGGGGTAAGTGTAATGGACTTGAATAGAGACTGCTGTTTTTTACATCCTTGCTAGTGCACTTTTTAGAATCCTTGTTAGTGTGCCCTCCTTCCATGTTGAAATCTTTGTTGGAATCCCACTCATATCAGGTAAATTACAACCAGAGTTGTTAAATTGGTGCCATGACTAAGATACGAATGAGGTTTAGGGGGTAAGTGTAATGGACTTGACTTGAGACTGCTGTCTTTAACATCCTTGCTGGTGCACTTTTTAGAATCCTTGTTAGTATGCCCTCTTTCCATGTTGAAAACTTTGTTGGATTTCCACTCATATCAGGTAAACTACAACCAGAGTTGTAAAATTGGTGCCATGACCCAGACACAGATAAGTTAAAGGGGGAAATGGACTTGACTGGAGACTGCTGTCTTTAACATCATTGCTAGTGCACCTGCTTCCCACATTAGATTTGCAGGTCTAATACTGCTTGGATTGTGCCATGTAGAACCAGAGGGGCCACATTAGTGCCATGACCTTGATAAAAGTGAGTTTTTTTGTTTTTTTTTTCTGGGGAGGAATGAGTATAACAAAGGCAAACAAGCAAGTAAACTCTCACTCCCCTAGCTTCAAGATCTGTACTAAAAACAGATGCTGGATACAGCCATCTTTACAGTTATTTTATATTAGTTTGGCCACCTTCCATGCAGAAATAGTTGCTGCAATCACACTTTTAACATGTTGAGTAGTACTAGTAGTGCCGGGTGTCGTGACCCGGTTGAAAGTGCGGTTTGGTATGCATGTGTGTGTAATGGACTTGAATACAAATTTGTCTTTAGTGTCCTTGTTAGTGCCCCCGACTCCCATGTAAGAGTCACTGGTTCAAATTCTACATGGATCAGAATGTGTGTGTGTTTGTGTGTGTGTGTGTGTGTGTGTGTGTGTGTGTGTTGGGGATGAACCAAAAATTTAGCATATGGCCAGTTAAGACTGTGATGAAGCCAGTACCTTCTGCCTGATATTGACACGGCTAGATATTTCAGTTGACTGTACATCTGCGTATTTAAACATATGTAGCATAAGGCAAACGGGCAAAACATCTTTATGCTTGCTTATACTAACAGGATTACATTAAACGTTATATGACTAGTACATGACTTGGCAGTGAAGGGCTAATTATAAAGCCTCCAGCAAATACGCACAGTCGTGCCACTCTATAAGTACTCTTTCTCCCCAAGTACATCACAAAAGATGCCATATGGACAATTAAGACCAGAACACTTCAGTCTGGCTTTCATGCAAGGCTTCAAGAATGTTTCACTTATTTTTCTAATTGCGTTAATCACTAAACAACACTTGAAAAATGTTAAGAGTATAGAACCGCAATGCCATGTTTTGTCGATGGCATCAGTGGAAAAAGTGCTAATGCAGTGCACCTTGTGTTCTTAGCTTTCACTTTTGTCTTGAGTCCTTCTCAGGTTAAGTCTGAAAGGTGATTCATAGGGGATTCGCGGTGACTGTCAGATCAGAGTATAGCAAGACCTGAATGGAAAAAGAGTCAGGATGTAAGAGAGCTGTCGACACTGTTGAAATGCCATGGCCCTGATGATATTTCTGACAAACCGGGAAGTCAGAGGAGTATAGTTATCACCTTGCACCTGCCTGTCCAGTCCTCCCTAAGATGTCAATAATCCTGACAAAAGAACTGCTGAGAGAAAGATGGACAGTGGATTTGTGCTCCGACTGCTGCACTAATAAGGTAGAAAAACACTGAAAGATTTAGAAGTGGAAACTATAATGAAATCTGCATTTATTAACTAACCAATAAACTAACAAACCAGGCTTTATCACAGTGTATTATGATTGTGTAATAGCCATATGTACCGCTAGATGAAGAGAGAATGACGAGTAGGGCAGGCTGTCATTTCTACCAGCAAATGTGCGTTTCATGTCGAATATAAGTATGAAAGAATGCTGAAATATTACCTAGTGCTGTTTAGCCTATCCATTAGAAAAATAGACTGAAATTACTATCTGATATTTTTTCCATATTCTAATCTTATATTTTGTATTAGGCCTATTGTTTTGTTTATTTCTGCACTGACACCTCAAAAAAATATCAACATTGATCACCTTCATCATCTGACTGCATTCCCGATGTTGTGCCAAAAATTGCATTGCTGCCGTAAAATGCACCACCTTCATAGACTTTCATTAGAATTCTCAGTCTACATTTTAAAAAAAGGCCATAATTGATTAAAACGTAGGCTAATATGATTATTATTTTAATTAATCAAGCGAGAACAAGAAGTGAAATGCATTTTAAAACTAGGTTTACAAATAACATAAACAGCGCAAGCTTTAAAATGATTTTTGAACATGGAAGATGCATCACTCTATATAATCACTTGCTGCAGTTGGTTAACTGTATGATGTATTTCTTTTAAATCCTTATATTTACTGTATGCATTTTTCTTTAAATATCTGTACTTTCATCCTTGCTTTATGCTACCCTGTTTAAATAAATAAAAAACTAATTACAAAAAACACTTTAATTATTAACTATTTTGTTTAGCTTTATTTAATTAATCTATTTTAATAATCAAACTTTTTTTGTTAATATCTCCAACCCTAACCAAAGACTAATATAAGATTGTATATTATTAATGTTATTAATGACACATCTCTCTAAAAGTATTCTGGACGCTCGCTCTTGTTTCCGTTCTAGAATTATGCTCGCCTTGACATTTACTTGCCCATTCATCCTGCTGCTATAAATAGAACTATTCATGTAAATGCATGCAAATTATGGTAATATAAACAGTTCGCGTCACTGGGAATAAATTAACGTCTTCTCAATCAGCATTTATTTCAGAGTATTCCCTCAGCGCTACCTGCTGTGAAGCAACATGCTCTGATTGGCTAGATTCCTGATCACCCCTCCCCCATTCCTCTACTTTGCCTTTTGATTGGCCAGTCTGTTCCTCACCGGCAGCTCAGTGTGGGAGTCGGGCTTTAATTAGAGAACTGGGGAGCAGAGCTGTGAACATGGCCGCCACTGACCAGGCTTTTGGCAGAACGCCGGAGCGAAAACTGAATGGTCTCGCACTTATCCAGTGAGTCACGCGGGACCGTCTTTCGCTCCGCTACAAGAGACCTCCCAGTGTTTTCTGAGAGGTCCTTTAAGACCGTAGCCTTCAATATAGTTATGAAACATGAAGAGGAGGTGAGAACAGACGCATGGCATAACTGGAAGTGTGGATGTAATTATTTGATTGATAGTGGTTTACAAAAATGGACAAGCAGTTAATTATGTACATTGAAATATGCATACATTTTTGGATTTTATAAATTACGTGTTTAAACATGCAAATAATACAGTTATATAATTAAATATGCACTAATTTGCAAATCTGAATATTGGAAGATGGCAGGCTAATTTTTTTTGGCATAATAGAATCAGATGTTTAATCGTTTCATTATTCAAAATACTGCAAACAGCCAGGAAAAAAAAACACCATTTCAGTAGAATAAAATGTTGTATATAATCCAAAAAAATGTATGTATGAACATATCTTATTTGAAAAACCCTTAATAATACAGATGTGAACACAAATGTACAGTTTGGTGTACGTAGGGGCTGCTGAAGTGGAGATTTATGACTCTTAAAACTACTTTTGAAAAAATGGCCTTTAAAAATATATGGCTAGTTGACAAATTGGCAGTGAAAAATATTGATGTAGTCTGATGAGAAAATATAAGGGGTCACTAATTTTATCAATTTATTTACTTTTATTTTGTATATTTTTACAGAACTGTACCTTAAATACATCATATAGTGTGACATGACAAACATTAAGAAAAACAACTCTTACAACTCTTATAATATACAAATAGCGTGAGAATGATTTATCTTCATTGTTGGATTCTTAAAGGGCGCCTATTTTACCCCTTTAACAAGGTGTAGGATAATGGTACTCACACTATGTTATCTGAACCATGCCCAGGCCCGTTTCCCAGATCGTTTGAGAAGTGAGAGTGCTCTGAATCGGGCTCAGGCATGGTTCACCTGGGCTTTGGGGCAGTACGCTTGTGTGTGAGTGCCAAACGCGCCAGAGCCCGAAACTGAAGAAGGGATGTGACTTTTAAGGGACTGTTTTATATGGAATACTTAATCATTCTTATTGTTCAATAAATGCAAAATGTTGTAATTTATTAAAGATGCAAACCCCTCACTGTACGACAGCTTGCACCTTCAGCAAACCTCATCATTCCTGCAGCAAAAGGACTTTATGATTGTTAAGAGCGTCAAAAGTAGCTGATCTTTTTGGTGAAATATTTGACTGTGTGTCACTGCATTTCAAACGACTTAAACAATATAACTGAAGAAATCTCCACTGTGCTGAGTGAGAGCACATACTGAACAGCGCATCACCGATGACGTAAGCGTGCCCAGGCCCAAAAGTAATGTGAGTGCGGGCCGTCAAGCGTGCTTTGGCCTAGTTCAAGGCAACTGTATATAGTGCGAGTACGCTCTAAGACTTTGGTGTCTGCAGAATGTGTCTGTAAAGTTTCAGCTCAAAATACCAATCAGATTATTTATTATATCATGTAGAATCTGCCCATTTCAATGTCTAAGGACAACTTAGGCAATTTTGTAGCCTAGGGCTTTATTTCCAAATGAGCTGCACCAACATGCATGTCTGCTTCTCATGCGTTACATCAGATAAACAGCAGTCAGTGATAGAAACGGACACGGATAAAGCTGAAATAACTCTAGTCACAAGTTTTAAAAAAAAGTTTATTTCATGTATTTGCGTTTGAGTTTATATTTGAGTTGTATAAACTAACCATGTGGTTGTGGTGATTATGTTTTTTTTTTTTTTTTACATGACGCGTGAGGGCAGGAAGTGATTCTTCTACTAATGCTATTAGAACATTAAATATTCCTGCTTTATGTTGTTCTAAAATCTTTAGTTCAAAAAGGGTGGAAGTTCAAGAAACTAGCTGAAAAACACAAAAAAGGCGGCATTTAATAAACATTTTTTCAATACATCCATGTGTACAAGTTTTTTTTTTTTTAACGCATTAATTCACTTCACAGCACTAATTAAAATTATATACAGGTGTATAATAATGTGTTATAAAAAATCAGATACAACCTCCACCAAACTTACAAAATCCAGGAGAATATAAATAACGTAACGTAATATAATCACTGCAATTAAATCTCTGTCTTGTTTTGCAAAAATCCAATCTTTACTGGCGTTTATATAACAATAACAGTAATAAACAACTGAACGTGAACATCAAGATAACAACTCATAAAAAATAAATAATAATGTAGTTTAAAATAAATAAATAAATAAATAATAATGTAGACCATGTGACACGCATTTATATACTTTCATCTGTTATTTCGTGATGTCTGGAAGATCCGCGTGGGGGAAAAATGTTATAGTAATTTATAACAAACATGTTTTTGAATCACAGTGTACAATGTGTACAACTCAGTACAGTACAGAATACTCATTACAGAATACTGTAGTAAAGTTAACTTTTAAACTGTAAAAAATAACGTTAGTGTAAACTGTGGTGCATTGTTATGGTGTATATTATAGCGTTTAAACTGAAGCCACTTAAATAATTTGTTTAATAATACAGTTGTGTCGGACCACAGCAACAATATAATTACTATGACAGTTTAATTCAAACTTGGCCCTTTTCATGATATAAGGACCATGCCCAACATACAGTATGTGGTTATTTTCTACTTCCTTTGAAATATGGTATACATCGCTAAAATACAGACTATTCTCTGTCTCCCATTGATTTTTTTGCTTCCTGCCCTCCATCTGAATTCCGCGCATCATAAGAACCACGTGACTGAAAACAACCTATAGCGGTTTTACATGGTGATTTACCTCTCTTTGTTACAAACAAGCAGTTTTAAAAAATGTTTTAAAGTTCAAAATTGAGGTACAGCTGATCACAATGAGTTGGAACAGATATTTTAATCCCAGTTTCTTTGAAAAAATGTACTTTGGACATGTGTAAACATGTCATTTTGTTGACATGTCACCTGTCAATCAATTCAGTGGGCAAGGAAAACTGCACTCCTACATCACGTTGCGGTTGGCCTCAAAATCACAGGGATTTGGGGCCTATTTTAACGTCAGGAAATTAAACAAAAAAAGCCTTGTTGGATTTATAACACTCCAATATGATTGTGGACCCACTGTATACACAGTTCTGTCCAAAAAGCCTACAAAAGTTGATTTTCATTATAGGTGCCCTTTAAATTCATTAAATTCATTTGAATATATATGAAATTATAATTAATATTGCAATCACAACAAAGGACAACCAACCAAATTATAAAGTGCACTTATGGAATTGTACAATTTAAAATAGTGTTCCACTGGCCTTAAAACTACTAGGTACTCACATCAATACTTCTGGTGCTCTTGAGGTGGGATATGGGTAGGGTTAGAGACAGGTTTAGGGGATGGGTAGGTTTAAGGGTGGGTTGAGTCAACAGTGTATTTATAAATCTAATTAGAGAAATTAAATACAGATGTAATTACATGCAGGTATTTAATCAATCATAGGTACAATGCAAAAACATGTGTTTACGCAATAAGTACATTGTAGCAAATGATTAATTTTAGTTTAAATGCATGTTAGTTAAGGCCACATAAGTGGGACCAAAATTAGCAAAGTGTCACACACAAGGACATGGATTTAATGGTTTTAGTTCCTATGTTTTTGGAAGAATATGGGTGAAAACAATTATTGCCATTTACTAAAACAGACAATTGTAAAATTAGCCCCTAAAGATTTTACGATTTTATGTAAAAAATTTAATAGCAGCAGTTTTTATACACAAAATGTCCACAGAAACGTTCAACCATCCATATATTGTAAATGAAATCCACTGATGCAGATCGATGAAGTGAGACAAAACACTTTAGTGTATTTTGGATGTTTTCCTTCCATTAGACTTGTAAAATCCCTTCATGAAAAGCCAAAAAGCCCAAAACTGACATATATGTTTGCCTGTAATGTCTCACTTTAAGAAAACATACACACTGTAGCGTTCTTCAAGATAGTTTTCTATTAATGATCTCATTAATTTTCATTCTAAGAATATCCTAATTAAGAAGGGTGATAAAATATTACATTCTGCAAGGACATTTTAATGAAAGTAAGCGCTCCGATAAGTGGACTCGCATGGAATTAGTAGATTAGCTTGGCTTCGGTCTGAATATGCTAATAACTGTCACCAGCTCTTGCCAAGAGATGATACAGTGTGCAATCTTGCGAAGGCTTTTGCTAAAATTGCCCAAAAACAGCTCATCAGCTTCAGATGTTCTGAAAGAAAACAGTTTGAGGCTGAGGAATAGAGATGTAGAGCAAAGTACATCTAGGACTCTGTAATAGGAGTGTTTCGCTCCTCTTATTTCAAAATCTTGCCGAATCAAAGCTTAAGGCAAATTTAACTTCAAGTTCAGCTTAGAGCTTAGAGAAAAGAGTGAAGCGCTGAAGTACAGAAAGTTACTATCATAATTTCAGTTAAAACTTACTTTAAAGGAACTTTTCAAACACAAATGGATGTTTTGTTATCTTTAAATAGTTACAGTACCTGAGCAATGTGAGGAAAATCTACTCAATTGCTACTAGTACTGAACAACATCCTCACCTAAACCTAATATCAATGTGTTTTCTTTATTGTGCTGCGGTATGGGTTCAGGTTTATTACATATTGTTAATGGCTATGCTGAAATGTATTAATTTCTTGATAAAAAAGACATGAGTCTAAGTAAATGCTAACAAAATTAGCATATCTTGGTGAACGTTTCGTTTCGACTATGCGTGACGTAGATTCGAGGCCACCTTCAGCAAGTTTTTGCTGAACTTGGTTTTAGAAATGAAGGGTGTAAATGTGCGCACCTGCTGTGGTTCCTCTCTGAATGACAAGCGTAGCCTCTGTTCCCACTGGACAGTCCTTGAGCAGCTGCACCACCTGTGTGTGGTTCAGTCCCTGGAGACACTTCTGATTAATCTCCACTATCAAGTCTCCTTCACACAACCCCGGACAACCCTGCGGCTCCAGAACCTGATCAAAACAGATCAAAATCAGTGAGGATGTACTGTATTTTATACTTCATAAGCATATGAACATTAAGACAATACATACCGACCATTAAATATCCTTAAAGGAACCCTCTACCTTTTAGATTTTACAAGACTCCTAAAGTTTAAAAGTTGAGATTTACAATTTCAGTTTAGCTTTTACCACTCAGCTGATCTTTGGGTCTGGCGGGAACCCTTTTAGCTTAGCATGAATCATTGAGTCGGGTTAGACCATTAGCATCTTGCTCAAAAATGACCAATTAATAAAAAATATTTAAAGCTTGACACTTCTGTAGTTACACTGTGTATTAAAACAGAGAATATTGCTAGGAACAATACTCTTATTCAGGCATGATAATCAAGGAAGTTTGCTGCCTTACCATGGCTGCAGCAGATGCAATGATATTACACAGCATCTGAAAATAGTCCCCAGCTAGTTACAGAAGCATCTTCTGATGCACATCAGTTAGATAACTTCCAATGTACTGTAACCACCTGCTTGCGCACAAAGCCTCTTGGGTAATATCACAAGAGTCACCCTTAAAATTGGACAAATATGTAAACTCTTTAGTCATTTTTGAGTGAGATGCTAATGGTCTAATCCAATTTAATTATCTATGCTAAGCTAAGCTAACAGTGCTCCCACAAGACTGGGAGAGCTGCTAAATGAATTTAAAAATTGTAGAGTATTCCATTCAATGCTGAACATTTAGCATTTCTATCTCCTACACTTTAGTCTGACCTTTACTCCAAACTCATTTACTGTCCCTCAAATAATTAAAAAAAATTGTTTTGTCTGTAGGACAGTAAAGAAAATAATTAAATCTGAAAGAAACAGGTAAGCATTGAATTTAAAGATGGCAAAAAAATACAGTCGCAGTAAATTGCAGGCCCGTAAGGTGAAAGTGGTGGTTCTTTTTTCTTAAAAAGTGGAGATTTTTTGCAGTTATTCGCCTAAATTTTTGTTTAAATATAAGGTTTAAATACTGCATGTTAATGACACTTTAAGCACTTTTTGTTTTATTAGCTTGTCAGAATCTCTTGAAGTTTTAAATTAAAACCTGTAGTCTACTGTCAATTATCAAGCCTGGTTTATACTCGACGCGTCTGCTTGAGTGTGCGTGGCAAATGTGACGTCATCGCGGAGTTTGCGGAGGTTCGTTTTGGGTGTGCGCAACATGATTACATCCAGCAGAGTGCATGATTTTTTTTTTAAACTCGAGCGAACAGTGCGCATGGCACCGCATTTGATTTGAGTATGAAACACTTTGAAGAGATTTTGTCTGAAACAGGTACACCTGTACAGACAACTTCATGATCCGTGATCATAGAGATAACCAGATGACCAATATTTCTTGGCTAGAAATTGCAACAGCCATGGGAAAGGAGTAGGGTGTCAAAATGAATTGTTTCTTTGGCAACGTGTTGCAGATGCAGATAATTCGGTATCGGTTCAGTAATAATCATAACCAGTTATAATGTAATGACTGACGTCATTTATCTCATTTGCACTATATCACCATAGCTTACTATGGCGAGGGAGACGAGTGCGAGTATTTACAAAGCTCCAACTACTCAAAAAACTTAAAAACTGTGCACAATTTCACTGCTGGGCAGTCTTTCACTAACACTTACAGCAGAAGCCTGTATTTTACTTTGATTGAGAGAATGAAAGTAAACTCCATTTCTCTCTTTCTCTTTCTCTCACTCTGTGGCCCATTTGACCTGCTGGTGTGACCTTTTCTCTCCTCTTGGCTGTTACAGCGATGCTTCTGGATAGAGGTCTGCATTCCCGCGGCTGTACTGCAGGAGCTGACCAAATTTCTTGATGCACGGGAATAAATTTTACAAATAAAGCGCAGGAGCGGTCGGTAACGGGCAGTCTAACAACTGTGTGTGTGTGTGTGTGTGTGTGTATGTGCGTGTTTATGTGTGTGAATAAAAGGCAGCGTGATGCTGTGTGTTGCTTGTTTGGTGCTGTCTATGTTTGTGTGTGTGTGTGTGTGTGTGTGTTTGTGTGTGTGTGTGTGTGTGTGTGTGTGTGTGTGTGTGTGTGTGTGTGTTTGTGTTTATACAGACAGCTTGTTTAAAGGATTGGAAAAACCTGAAGGATAAGTTTGTTAAAACCAAAAGAGGTCATGGCAAAAGTGGACACCAGGTACACAATTACAGAAAATGTTTTTCCACAATTCATAGGTTTAACACTGATGTATTTGTTAAAATTTTGAATTTAAAACTATTTAACAGTTACAAAATGAAGTCAAAGAAGTATTTCTTTGATAACTGGAAAGGAATATTTGAACCTATCAGTTTACAGTATACTGATGCTCTGTTTCTAGGCTTTGTTGATGATAATAGTCAGGAATGTTGGACCATTATTGGCTTTTTAGCATAAATATAGAACAGTAATGTGTGAATTGTGGAGTGGGCTAAATCTAAAAAAAAAAAAAAAAAAAAGAAAATTTGTATTTTTTTAGTAAGTGTGCTTTTTTTGCTTTTATTCTTGCCATCATAAAATATATATTTGTAGAGCAACCCATGTTCTGTTGTCATTAATATTTTAATAAACTTCAATAGGTAAAACTGTCTAAGATATGAACAAAAGCAAGTGATGAATCAAAGTTTGATAAAATTTGTATTGAATGATTATAAATATCTTTATAATCATTGAAATAATTAAGTCAGCAGTGGTGCGTGATGCAAAGCCAGGCAAAAGTATAAATCAAGCTTTAGGCAAATAAAAAAACTGGCCAGCACATTCAACTTTCCTCAGTCAGAATTTGGTATTTGGTCAGAAGTTTTGATAAGTTATGATAGCATAACAGTCCAAATAACACAAATAATCTCATGTATGGGACAAATTCTAGAACTTTGTCAGTGGGGGGTGGGTCTTTAAAACCTCCTGAACCCTTCTGGCTAGGGAGCTGAATTGCTACTTGACATCAACATTCTTTAAGATATCTTTTGTGTTCAACAGAAGACCAAAAAAAAACAAACAAACATGGTTTGGAAAAAGAATAAACTGGCTCTAGTTTATTTAATTAGAATCACTTCATCTATCATAATTGCATAAAAACAAACACACTGGCCATTTATGCCAGTTGATTTATTTCCTCTATTTCTTCCACTGATCTATATATAGACAAAATTTTGTTTGAACTGAAGACCCCTACATTACAATGTTTGCTTATGGATTTCAGCGTACCTGTTTAACTCTCTGCCCCGTAGGACTGTCCGCTATGGTAAAGCCGAAACCCTCTGCACCTTTGGTTATAGTGAGACTCAGAAGCTCCGGGGCCACCGTAGCCCCGGCTGTTGCTCCTGAGGATGATGCCATTGAGACACTGTCGTCAGGTGGGGGTCCTGGGGTGGTTAAGGACGGAGGTTGTGAGCCATCCAGGTGGGTGTCTCCTGGGTGGGGAAGCGGGGTGAGGCCCTCACCATGCTCAGGTACCAAGCGGCCAGTCAAAGACATGTACTCCATATAATTTTCATAGTTGTTCCTTCCATTAAGCAGCAACGGGTGATCCACCAGGCCCAAAGGGGGCATGGAGGAGCTTGCCGAAGGATCTTCTGGGTCATATGGGAGCGGGTAACCTCGACACAATACCAAGGTGACGCTCTGACCAATGGGGACCGACTGGAAAAGCTTCACCACATCAGCATGGGTGGTGCCCAGAACACAGATGTCATTGATGTAGACGATCACATCACCTGATGAAGAAATAAAGAAAAAAATGAGAATACTAAACGCGCGTTTAAAAGAAAATATGAAGCGCCATACTCCCAAGTGCATTATGTCATGGCTCTTACATCTACCACTTGTTCAGAGTGCGTATGCGCATAAATTAGCTTAATTATTAAGCATATTGGTTCTCTTACAAAACATAATTATGCTGGCTTCTGAACAGGCGATCATGCTGAGAGATTTGCAATGGGGAAGCAATTGCAAGTCATTCGTACGTAATGAACGCAGTTGGATTCTGGTGACATATGCAACCAATGGTGCATAATGAAGGATTTGTAGCCTAGTTAGTGGGTAAAACTGTGGTCTTTATGATGTTTGCTGGTGCGCCTGCCTCACATGCTAAAAATGCTGAATTAAAAACTGTGGGGTATGTAAAACATTGATGCCTTGACAGAAATAGGTTTTTGGTACGGTAATAAGTATAACAGATGCAACCCAGGCACATTCTGATTACATACCCCTATATACATTTCTGGAGAAAGCAAAATATGTCCCAGGAGCTACTGTTTTTTGCAGTTTTTGTTTTCGAAAACCCACCAGAGGCCATTGTGTACGCTTTTTCTGATCTCAAATTTCTCTCGCGAGTGCCATTCATGCATGCTGCTGTAAATCCACTATAGGACGCTGTTGACTGATTGACTTACTGACTGACCAATTAATCCCCCACCTTTCCCCTTCCTTAAACTCAACTCAACAAATAGCACCAATAAAAAGAATTGATTGACCTGCTCAATCCCTTCCTTAAACCCAACTGACAGTGTTTACCAAAGCCATCCAGAAAAAGAAAAGCCTCCAGATTTTTACCACATTTTCCCTATTTTACCACATTCTCCCCCAGTTATTTACTTGTTTATTTTATTTTTTAGCTTTTGTTTTTGCCATACCTGCTTTCTGAAACTGTTTTTTTACCAGACTTGCACCCCATGGTTGCGGTCAACTCCGCTCTACATACGTGTCGAGCTACCGTACAAAATGGTAACAGTGGAAAAGCCGTTCATACGGAGGTAAGCGGTCAGCTGGTAAGCACGAAAAGGAACTGCGTCATACAGCCCCGTATCATTTTTTAAAAAAATGAAATGCAGCTGGACGTAGCAATGTCTTCATTACTCGCAATCTCCAGAAATGTATATAGGGCTACCTTTTCAGAATGAGCCTGTGTTGAACAGATGCCAACTAGTAAGAAGTGTGCAAGTAAACCTCAATGCCCTTGCCTCAAAAGATACTTGCCCAGTAAAGGGAGCAGTGATTAGAGTGTTTCTTAGTGGGCCCACTTCCCAATCCCATCATTGATGAACTTATGATTGATAATAAAGAGCCTCAAGTTCTTACTTCCTTCAACTCCCTCTTCTCATAGCTTTTTGCTTGATGTCCTGCCAAATGTCTGTCTGTGGCAGGCAAGCTTAATTTTTATTCTAGAAGTGTTTAGTTTTGTTTGTATCACAGATTAAGAACATGTGCGGCAAACATAGTAAGTACAAATTAGCTAGTATTAACTAAGCCTCTAAATAGGACTTTACATTCCAGTTTAAGCAACTCAGAATCCACTGGTGCAAGCTTATAGCCTAGTCTCAAGACGTGCACTAGAGCAGGTGTGCCCAATTTTGTTCCTGGAGATCAACCTTCTTGCAGAGTTCAGCTCCAACCCTGATCAAAAACAACAAAAAGAAACTAAGGCTTTTTCTCAATATGTGTTCTTCAGCATTCTTGTGTCCTCGTGTTCTCATGTAATGTCATCATAAGCTGCCAAAGTTCAGTTCCAAAATTCAAAACCGCAAGAACAGAGGACATGTGAACGTTCCCAGATGAATTCTTGATATCAAGGATGCATAGATGTAGACTTGAGAACCAAACTCGCTCTAGAAGTGCCAGAAGTCATTGCGGCTGAATAATGGAGGTGGAAAGCGCAGCATTTTACAGGTTTATTTTTAAAGTTTCGAGATATAACTTATCTGTCTTAGGGGTGTCCCTACATGAAACGTTAAAAGTAAACATTACCATGGAAATCCTTATAAAGGCATAAACCCATTAAGGGTGTTTATTTGCTAAAATGCGTATTAAAATTAGTTTTATTTGTATTGTGCAACGTATATTTGAACGCTCTTTATGCATAGTATATATTGTGAACAGTAACAACAATAAATTGTTGTATCAATGCTGTAATGTTCAAATAAATTTCTGTTACAAATGCATGAAGGCCATGTGACCATCAGGAAGAACGCGTCTCATTTCTCAGAGGATGCATTCTGTTCTCATGGTCTCCTGAGTTCGTTCTTCTGAGGTAAGTTGGCAAGAATGGTCTCCACAAGAACACAAGTTCGTTCTCAGCATTCTTGGAATTAAGAAACAACAATAAATCATTGTATGAATGCTGTAATGTTAAAAAAAATTCCATTAAAAACGCATGAAGGTCAGGTGACCATCAGAAAAAACACATCTAATTTTTCAGAGGATGCGTTCTTTGTTCTCACGGTCTCCTGAGTTCATTCTTCCGAGGTAACTTGGCAAAAACGGTCTCCACATGAACACGAGCACGTTCTCAGCGCTCTTGGAATTGAGAAACAGCCCAAGTAAGATCTGAAGGAGCTCTTGGTATGTTAAGATGCTGAACTCTGCAAAAAGGTAGATTTTCAGGAACAGGATTGAGCACCCCTGCACTAGAGGCTGCAATCTTTAGTGTCCATATTAGTGTACTTGGATCCCATGAAAATGCAGATTCGAAACCCATAGATTCAAAAGTGTTAGATCAGTAACCTGACCCTGATAAGAGTGTGGTTTAAGGGGGAAGAGAGATTAACAGAGGCTATATGAGCTCTGCAATAAACCTCATTTCGCTGGCCTCAAAAGAAAAACTCGAGACAGCAGTCTTTAATGTCCTTGTTAGTGTGCCTGCCTACCATGCTGAAAACGCCGCTTTGAACCCTACGGGGGCAACAGAAAATGTAAGGCTTACACAGAAGCTGTGACCTTGTTGGGAGTGAGATTTGAGGAGTGAGTATAATGAAGGCCAACAAGTAAAATCTGTTCATCATTTCCCTGGCTTCAAGAATCCACTCGAGGCTTCAGTCTTTTCTTTCCCTCTTAGTGTGTCAGCCTTCCATAGTAGAAATGGCAATTCGATTCTAATAAGGTGAATTGATCCAAAGGGGTTGCACATGTGCTGTGACCCTGTTGAGAGTAAAGTTTAAGGGGTCGAGACAACTGTAGAGCAGCTAGTAAGAGCTGTACTGGTTAATCTCACTCCTTCTTGCACAAGGCCCTTAGTGCGCCAGCTTCCCAACTTAGAAATGTCAGATCAAATCTCACAGACTGAACAAAACTGGAGTGGTTATACTGGTGCTGTGACCAAGAGGAGAATGAGGTAGCTGTCACTCCCTTGGGTCAACAGGCACACTAGAATCTGAAGTCTTTAGGATTCTAGATAAGCGTTTATTTTTTATATATAACAAATATAATCCATAGCAGCCTTCACCAAATGTGCTGTTAGTAAGAGCGACGAAGGGTGCTCAACCTGCAGTCTGTGTAAGTCCTTATGCCCAGTAGTCCCCCAAGTGAAGGGGGATGCTTTACTGTCAGTGAGCGCTTTCAGATCTTTCGGATGAGACGTTGGACTAAGGTACTGACTCTCTGTGGTCATTAAAAATTCCACGGCACTTCTTGTAAAGAGTGTAGCCTCCTTTCCACTGCACACGACAAGCGACAGACCGGAAATTATTCATTTCCAAAGGAGAGTACTCCGGGAGCTGCGTGGAGGTCCGATCATCTCCGTATGCGGAAAAATTGGATCCGAATTGAGCTGCGGATCCATTGAAATATTTGAACTCCTGCGACTAGACCATATGCGACAGGCCAACCGGATGTGATGTATTCAGTGTTGTCCAAGCAGGTCCGTGAGCGCGAGATGAAAAATACTACTTTATTTGGTTATTTTTTGAATCAGAAAAAGTCTGTATTAAAAAAAACTAAATTTCTGTTCATAAATGTAAGTAATAAAGTAATAAAAATATATATTTTTATATTGTCTCCACATTCTTTCCATTATTTTTAACGGTCTATGAGTTTCTAGTATTCATTCAACCATGGCACGCACAGAAAAAATGAGTCTTGGTTTTGCAATCCTTTATTTCGGACACTGCCAGAACTCTCCTCTCCTCTCCTTCTCTCATGGTGCACATCAAAAATGAAAATTTTGTGCGACTGCCACAAGGGGGCGTATTCCAAATGTCGTGTTCAGTGGAAAGGCGGCTTATGTGTATAACCTCGGTCTCCTGGCCAAATTACCTTCTTCGGCCCTTACCGATAATGGCCAAATTGGCTCAATCAATCCATAGTCAAAGTGAAACATTCACTGAGATATGCTAATTCTGTTAGCGATGCAATTGTGCAAATAGAGGCGGATTTCTACTGAGCAGCATCGAATTATGCAGAATTTACAGCACACTTGCAGCAAACACAGAATTTGACTATCAAGCAAAAAATTCTCCTGACATGTCCATTCAACATTCTGTCAAATCAAAACGAACGACCGCATCATTGCTGTACGTGGACACCCAGAAATTTACAACACTACTGCACGTTCATATATTTATCCTATTTTAAATGGGAATACAGTTAAAGTCCCCCTGAATTATTAGACTCCATTTATTAGCAGAAAAAACATCCCCACAGCATGGTGCTGCCACCACCATGCTTCACTGTAGACATAGTATTGGCCTGGTGATAAGCGGTGCCTGGTTTTCTCTAAATGTAACGCCTGACATTCACTCACAAAGAGTTCAATTTTAGTCTCATTAGATCAGTGAAGTTTGTTTCTTATGGTCTTAGAGTCCTTCAGATGCCTTTTGACCAATTCCAGGCGGGGAGTGGCTTCCATCTGGCCACTCTACCCTACAGGCCTGATTGGTGGTTTGCTGCACAGATGGTTGTCCTTCTCTAAGGTTCTCCTCTCTCCACAGAAGAACGTTGGAGC